AAGATGAATAAAAATTAAAAAAAAATTAGGCGAACTTGCAATGCCTCGGTTGATTCGCTCTACAGTCTTTCTTCATTTTTTTTCTCTCTACTACTCCCCACATGTTTCACTATGTTCAGCCTGCATAGGTAACAGCTGTTCCCGCTGCGCACATAAAGGCCACAAATAACCGCTTTCGCTTCTCGCAAACAGATATAAATGCACTGCAGCAGTCCTGCCATAAACTTCTTCGCGAAACAACAAGCAGTATCTAATGCATGCGCTCTGCTAGTGTCTCTGTACATTCTGATGTGACAGATTGACGGTGCACCCTTCACGTCGTTGCCGGCAGAGCGGTGGGTTTTCTATAGTTCGATTCGACGACGAGCTCACACACGCGGGACCAGCGAACGACAGCCCAGTGTCGCACAAAGAATAACGACAGCGTCCTCTATTGCTCGAGCGAACCTGACAAAGTATAGGCCTAAAGAGACGCGCTGCTCGTGGCCTATTCAAGCTTGCTAGTTTCACTGTGCTTCGGAAATGCTACGAAGGCCGCGTCAGACCGCTCGCTGAGCGTCGCCGCGAGCATAAGAGGGCGCCAGTGGCGTTAATGAAGCCAGATTATCGCCAGCTAGGCCCGCTTATTTGGTTAATGCGACTTTAACGCTGTCTTTCACGACCTCGCAGCACTCTATAGAGCAGATTGCGCTAGCTCAATATTATCACTATATGCGCATGTCTCGTGAACAGCATTAATTAAACCGACGTCACCCCAAACGAAGTGATGTAACGGACATGCGCGAAACACGGAGGCTCCTTGACTATCGACCTGCTCTCTCTGAGGGTACTTGTACAAAAACGATGCCAGCCTGCGGAGTTCTGAAGAACTGTCCATGGCACTTTCTATGAACGTCGCAGAAGCGATGATCCAGGTATAGAGGTATTTCCGAGCCAAATGTACCGCTTTTGTCAACACCATCCATCCCTCTCATTATATATATATATATATATATATATATATATATATATATATATATATATATATATATATATATATATATATATGAGAAAACCAACCCTTCCCCAGCCCCCCAACGCTGAGATTGTGTCACTTTGTACACCTTCGACTCACAGGCCATTCGTGCAACATGCAAGGTGCCCGACGAACCAAGTCTACGGTAATTCGGGCAACAACTTACGACACGTTCAGACACCAGCATGCATTATAAGGTGGCAACGCACATGCGGCCAATGTTTCAACGTGCGTTTTCCGTGATCGTGCAATGCGGGCGGCCGTTCGACGCATTCAAAACGACTTCAACGCACATATAGCGGTTCGGCAGAGGATGCTTATTTCTGCAGACCATCAGGTAGTATACAGTGCAGCGTCATGCAAAAGAGTAGACCCACACATGCACGTTTAGCGCTAGAAGATTGGTGTACACTCCACATCACACGAAACCAAAATTGGACTTGAATTTGAAAGTGTGTCCGGCGAAAGCCTGTAACCGTTGTGACGGGGTCGGTCAGAGTGGAACGCAAAGCGCGCGTCTCCCTTCCTGCATGAGTGGGAAGATTGCGGCCCGGCTACGGGGGAGACTGCTTCGTCAACGAGGCGTCTGACGAAGCAGCGTTGCCGCGCGCGCCATCACATGACAGCTGAGAGAGTGTAAAGGGGAGAGATCATTAAAGGGACCCTAGAGTGAAATAATGACTTGGTTTAGATTGATAAGCCGTGCTCTGAGAACTGCGATGTGACAAGTGCCACCGTCATAAGATCGCCATTAGCGGGGCAATAAAAGGTTGAAGTTTAATTTTTGAATTTCGCGCCAAAATCTCCTCGTGTAACGAATTTCAAAATGGACTTTTCGCGCTTTCGCGACATGGGCTCGATGAAACTTTTTAAAACTCAGTATGATCGGTCTATGGCACCCAAAGATGCAAATGTACTTCTTTTTTTTTTTTTACCGACTAAAAACTACGTAGGACCTAGTAGACGCCGTTAAAATCTATGACGTCACGGTGTTTGGTCACAACTCCTAATCTAAAATTTTTAGGGGGTTTTGGTTTGGTGCGGGAATCCCAAGGTGGCGTCTCCATTTCTTTTTGGCGCGTTTTCCCGTTTACCTATATATAGCATCGTCTCGCGAAAGAGTGTTGCTTTCGGAACTGCAATTTCATTTCACTTAACACGTGAGAAATTCCTTTTTTTTTTTTTCGCTTTAGTCACCCCTCAAGCATTTCGCACAGATGATTAACCGAAGCTGAAATATGCAGCCCCGGTGATCATCATGGGCTGTGATCTATAGGAGTTCCTTCTATTGTAGCTTTCGATCACTATCTCTAAGAAATGTACACTTTATTTGCTTTTGAGGATGCTAGCTTAAAATATATGAAGCACACCTAAAGGCGTCTTTAGGGGTGGCGCTTCAGCTGTGATTGGTATCATCCCGAAAAATATGTGCTGACAAAACTAAAGAGAAGCTGACGAAAGTGCGGAGAGTCTTCGAAGTAGCGTATGACAGCATCCAGTGCACGAACGGACGCAGCCGGTCACCGCGAGTACGAGGCATTAAAGGTGTTCGTCTTAAAAGGACGCGTGCCCCTTTTCAAATGGCGACATGGACACACACAAAGGAGTGTCAAAGCTCATCGTCACTAAACTTGTCGATCGACTTTGCACCAACGTCGGGAAATATACCTAGGCGCGCACACTGTTAATTCTTATAAAAGCTTCGCTCTAAGCATAACACGTTCCTGCCTTTCTCGCGAACAAAGGATTACAAAGTGCCGCTAAAGACAATCAGAAGGCTCCATCAAGCATTCATAAAGAATTCTTCCTTCTATCTTACGCGCTGTGCATTGGGCCCTACATCTCTTTAAACGGCCCTGTTCACTGCTAAGAGTGTTTGCCTGAAAACGATCAGCGGACGGTGAACCTTCACAGTTCGAGCGTTCCATCATGGGACAATAACCTTCGCCGCATTGGCGTATGAGCCGCAAATGGATGATCGCTCTGCTGGCATGAAGAATATCCGTGACTGCAGCACATCAGTACACCAAAAACGCAGCGCGCTCTTTAATGAGATTCGTGTGTAAATGAGCACAAAGATGCGTATTTCCCCGGCGTTGCAGAAACACACGAAAGCAGTGTGCCTCCATACTACAGTACTTTCCTTTAGGCAAATCAGGAACAACAAAAGAACACGAAATTGAACGACGGCCATTTCTTTTCTCATGATACCCTTGTCGCGGGTGTGCTTCTTATAAAGCGTTCTGGAGTCCGAGTACGATTTGAGCTCTGCATATTGAACAACTGGTCACTTCATCCTGTTACACTGAATTACGTTTCCCTTTCTTTAGCCTACCGAAAGCCCACTGCCAATCGATTACACGGCAGGACTGGAACTGGGTAGCAACTTATATAGCGCTGCCAAGTAGGAGGCATGAAACCCTCAAAAACATATAACCACGTCACAACACGTGGAAAGTGTTACACAATTTCTTGCAGGGTAGCGGGCTACGAATCAAAGTAATCGAATCGTTCTTGTTGGCGTCGAATCTATTGGATACGACCATGAAACGTTATTTTGTTCCGAAAAAAATGTCGACAGACCTATTTAGAAGCTTCTTAACCAAATCAAACAGCCTTGTCTGATTAGCACGAAGACAGTCTTGGGGGAAGTAAAAACTCCCACAGAAAAACCACATTTCTTTAGTTCACGTAGCTTCTCATTCATACGAAATTCGTGGTCTTTCCGAGGGACACTATATATGGCTGATCGATGTGTGACTTATCAAACTGTCAGGTGGCCTTGCGCTGATTTTACGACCAACGAAGTAAATGCTTAGCAAAGCGCTGGAGCTCGGATACACGCAATGTAGCGTGTTTACATCCATCTGCAGGCAACAGTGACACTGTTACGCTACATGTTTTGGCCATAGCGACATGTTTCATCCAATAACGAGATGAAATATCGTTGGCAAACGATGTTCAGGGAGGTTGTCGAATCAGCGCCTCGCGAAGCTGGTGTTTTCAAATAATGAAGCCAATCCCGTTCACCTGCCATATGCATGAGGGCGCACACGTATGACAAGCAGAACAACATTGGCGGACAACAGCTACTCAACGACCACAAATGAAAGATGCATTTTTTAAGTGACACAGCAACCGAAATCGCTGTTTTAGAGCTTTTGTTGATGCTGTTTAGCGACCACGCGACACAAGCCCCTATACTGCCTACGTCAGTACGTCTTGGGAGATAAATGGCGTAAGAAGCCAAGGGGAGAGGTCATACCACTTTGACCACGCCATTCGCTCCACAAAGGATGTGTCTGAATTAGCTTTTTTTCTTCCCCTGCTAACAGGTGCACTTTGAAGAAATGTACTCAAGCTGTTTTCAACCCTTACGCAATATTTCCCATACGAAGCATGCATTAGTCATAAAAAATCAGTTCACAGTCGGGGAACCCTGAACTGCTTAACAACGTTGCTCTCGTTTGTAGTACGCCGGAAACATAACGCATCGTGACAAAGCGACCACTAACGTAATCAAAACCGCAACAAAAAAGAGGACGCCTGCTATAAGTAAGCTACGGTACTTCACACGCGATTTTCATGCTGGTATTTTGCACCGGTACTGCGTCTCTAAGATTGTTGAACACCAAAACGCCCAGCAAAGCATTCAAACGGCGCGATCACCAACACGGCCACGGCATAGAAACCTCGTGGTTTCTTGCGCCACTAGTTCCCGTACTCTCCGCGCGATGCCGCCACGAATCAACGGAGAGGCGCGTGTCGAGCGAAAGACGCACGAGCTCCCGAAAGAGGGCGAGACACGCTGATCAAAACACCGAAAATGGGATCAAGCAACTAGCCAGCGATGTGCAAACCACGTGGCATATGTGACAGGCCGTGGGCGTCCAGCAAGCAGCGGCGTGACAACCGCGAGCGCGCCCGTGTCGCGCGCAGCAGGACAAGGGCGCGCGCGTGGCGGCAGCCGAAAATGGGTACGTACATTGGTGCTTCTTGGCGGCTGCAGCGGCTAGGCCGGCCACAACGGCGTCGACAAGCGACAACCGGCAGCTGGGCCGCGGCGGCGCCTTGCGCGGCCGGCGCCGCGTCGTCGTGACGGAGGCCGTTGCTGCCGTGACCGCGGGCGCGATCACGGCCACCGCTTCGGCGGACGCCGACCGGATGACCATCCCATCCAGCTTTCTCGACCGGTAATCCAAGCGCCAAGGAATCGACGGTCGCTCACTCGGCTAGCAGCAGCACGACGCCACGTGAAGAGAGCAGGTACGCAGAGCGCATCAGTCCGACCGGCCGCTATTTCGGGAGCACGCAACTCGGCACGACTACGGCGCCCAGGCGCTACTGTCCGTTGCTCCGAAGTCACTGAAGGGAGAGTTGATCGTCAGCGCCGACAGCACGCAGTCGCCTCCTCGCCCCCGACTCTCTCTCGCCCGCGCGCGGAGAGCGAGAGAGCGTGGCGTCAGCCAGCGAGGGAAAGGAGGCTCTCCCCTTCTCCGCCAACAACAATCGCCATATTGGAGTCCATCCAAAAAGCCTCTCTGCGTGACAGACACGCATTCATCAAATGATGATGTACAGTCGCGCGCTCCTCCTCGCCCCAAAGTTCCACAAAGAAAAGCGCCGGAGAGGAGGCTGCGGGAGGAGTGGCCTCCAGCGCTCGCAAATCAATCTCGTTTTGCGCCTCTTTTGTGCCTCACCGCCGCAGCGGCAAGCGCGGGCGCCCCTCGCCGCTGTCGTCTGGCCCGCATGGCCGCCGCGCTCGCGACGCCCTGAATGGCTGCGGCTGGCTCCTCCTCCCGTCGACGCGCCGCCGTCAGGTGCGACGCTGTGCACTGCCGGAGAGGAGGGGGGTGCGCTGGCCGAAACGTCCCCCCCCCACCCTTCATCGCACTTTACCAGAGGAAGAAAAAAAGTACTCCGGAAGGTAAACACCCCTTGCTTGCAGACCACCACGCCTCTAGACATGGAAGTATACATTGTGTACTTCCATGTCTACGCTACCACAAAAATAAAAGTGACTCCTCGTAGCATGCCTAGCCCAGCGTGCCATCCGCTATCGTTGAAAGTTATTTTTTTCCGCGACTAGTCATTAGCTGCGACTGTTCATCCCCATTCATTGACTTCGCGACTTGATCACTATGTATCACTTTATTGCGCATATTATGCATTTCTTCAAGTCGATGCGAATACATTTCACATAATGTTGAAAGTGTGTGAGAGAGCATATCAAAGGCAAAAATATTGACATGTGGTGCTGGCTAGCGCACTGCGTTAAAAATGCTTGTAAGACTAATTAGATTGTTGCAAACGCTAATCTTGCTAATTACGTAACTAGCACAATAAACGATTACTCAATAACGAGTGCACTCGTCTCACTCCGGCTAGCTTTGGAAGTAGCAACGTAGCTTTACGATATTGTCATCAGTTTTTTTTTTTTTTTGTAGTTCTCTTACCACAATTTAATCCAATATTATTTGCTGCGAAAATTCCTAACACAGAGTGATCGGGACTGGATGACGCATAACATCGTAACGTCGAGATTTTGTGTGTGTGTGTGTGTGTGTGACATATGTCAAGTATTGTGGCTGGTCATTTTGGCACCATACAAAACTCTATTCAACCACGGCGTCTTTTAAGGCTAACCGGAAAATAGAATACCCTGTAACTCGCCCATAGACTTCGCAAGGCACGTATGTAATGTAATCATATACGAGCAAGTAGCTGAATAAATACATAGAATAAATAATAGGTACTTGGTTGGCGAGATAATGTGTAATGAGATCAGCGTACGATACAGATTTTTCTTTTCAGAGAAAAATAAGATTTTTTTGTTTCGTCACTGTTTATTGCACGGTATGCTTAACAATAAGTGAACAAACCGTAGCAAGATTACTGCAGTGTGAATTAAAATATTAATAATAAAACAAAAGAATGACGGCAATTAGGCAGACACAGATACGTCATATTCAATTATCCATATTTCAGGGTTGTCTGTGCCATCATGCCGATAGAGAGGTCGGAAACACTTTCTGTTCACATGCTGTACTTCGTTTCACTTCATTGAAGGGCCGATACGAAACTTTTTCAAGAAACTAATAAAGTCATATATATATATATATATATATATATATATGGGGGGGGGGGGCTGATGCATTTCCCTTTATGAATTCAGTCAAGCAGCTCGTCAAACGTTACATTACTAAGTGCAAAACCACCTGCCATTTATCTGCTGCATCGTATCGCACACGGTTTGATGGAGCATGGGTTCTACGTATGTTCAGTGCATGTCATTACTTTTTTTTTGTCATAAAGCCACATACTCATTTCGTATTTTCACCTTCTTATAACGTCACTTCCCGGAGCATACTTCTCAAGGAAGGCTTCGAGAGGTATGGAATCCCTTTGTTTTCTTTCATTTTTCTCTTTCGACTGTGTTTACATGATAGGATCAGTGTAGTGGCTGAAGTGCAGCTTTAACGAGCAATCGGAACCTGCAGTGCGAAAATATATACGCTTCGTGGCGGCGCGTGATGTGAAAGCCCATGAATGTACAGGATGTCGCGTTGAGTCACAAGTGTAAATGCCATTGCTGACGCAAGGCTTTTCATTCATGGTCATGCAACTGCGGTTTTTCATATAAATAATAATAATAATAATAATAATAATAATAATAATAATAATAATAATAATAATAATGTGTAGCGTTTCACGTCCTCAAACCCCGACATGATAAAGGGACACGCCGTATGGAAGGCTCCGGAAGTTTTTACCCTCATAGCGTTCTTTTAGGATCAACGAGCACGGACGATCACACAATATATACGAGCCTGTACTATTTCGCCTTTTTTCACACAAACGGGCGTGATTAAAAATCAGATAAAGAAACACGACAGGCCCCAACATACTCAAACTCCAATCGAGAATGCTTTAATGGCTGCTGACTTTTCCACCTAACTCGTTTAGCTTATAGGTATGTTATATGCATGTATTGGATTGCGTCAGAGAGACTTTGTGTGCAGCACGCACAGTATATGCAAGCTTGAAAGAGATGTCACCATTTCCTCTTTCTTGGCGCGCATGAAAGAGTCCTCGAGAAAGCCCCTTTGAATTGCATGTAGCGCTCGAGCGTGTATACCGTATAGTACTGTCGGTACACAGTCAGGCAATTGTGGCATATATCTTATCCTCACGGAAGCCTCTCGCCTGTATCTGCAGCTGCATTAGAAATTAACATATATTTCTAGAAAAAAAAGTTCCAATTTGCTTCTTATTTTTTTAACTATATATGATTGGCTGCCCGATAGCAGCACTTACGTTCATACACAATCGCGTATGTATGCATACTTTTTAATACTTCCTGGTCACGTTATATGCTATATAGATCAAGGCTGAATACAATGTCACACAATCTAGATCTGCATTGTGATATTGTATCTCAATCTGTCGTCAGTCTTATGCGTCAAAACCGCAATATAGTTATGAGGAACACCGTACATAGTCCACTATGCGGCGTCTCTCGTACAACCGTTGTAAAAGAAGCCATATTGAGGGCCAATTTAGACCACCTTCAGGGTGGGATTTTTTAACGTGTGAATAAATCTGGGGGGTTTTCGGGTGAGCAGCCGGGCACCGCGTATACACCAACACCACGGCGGCTTTGAGCACCCGACAGTTGCACCGGTCCTAATGAGCGTATTTCGGATAGATTGTATCAGTTACTCATGCTGCGAGCCATGAGCGACTATAGTATAACTTAGATGTTTTCAGCAAAAATATCGCTGCCAAATGCTATCTTAGCAGCGCTCTTGGTTTAATATGTAGGTATGTACGTGTCGTCTCGTAATCATTCTAAGTTACATTGACGAAAAAGTAGGCTTAATCGCTGATAACCGTCCGCCCATGCATGTGTAACAAATACGCCGAGAAGAATGACTGAAAGCATAATACCGCTGTTTCACGTTCTTTACCTCGTCGTATTCAAACGGCCACGTTTTACTTTCAAGCGGCCAGCGATCATGATACTGTCTTCGCGTTATAGCTTTCTGAACGAGGTTCATACTAAGGTAGTAGCCGCGACTCAACTTCTTCCACATCTCTGGCCCGAGCGCAATACTGCATACACCAGATGCCTTCCTTCGACCAAAGAACAGTGTATAGATTAGGCCTATGTACCGGAAAGAGATGCGTGCGTTTTCACCGTTTTGGCAACAGGCGCATACAGCTGCGATCTGCATGCATGCAACAGCAGCGTTCTGCGCGGACGACGTTCACTTCGGTGAAAACGAATACAGCAGCGCAACAAGTGAGAGCGTGCTCCTTTTGCCGTGCGTGTCGCCGGCAGCCATAAAATGGGCTTTTAGCTTGGACGTACACTCTTTAATGTTACCGCGTTGCCAGAATACAGGATCGCGCTCATCGTATTACCGGAATGCATGTTTTAACGAAGCTTTAACAGTAGTATATTATCAGGTTTCACGTCTCAAAACCACAATATATGATTACGAGAGACGCCGTTTATATAGCGCAAGGCTCCGGAAATTTAGTCCATGCTTTTTAACGGACAACGACATCGCACAGTACAAGAGATTCTACCATTTCGCTGATAGATATGTGGAGTTTAACGTCCCAAAACCACCATATGATTATGAGAGACGCCGTAGTGGAGGGCTCCAGAAATTTCGACCACCTGGGGTTCTATAACGTGCACCCAAACCTGAGCACACGGGCCTCGGCATTTACGCCTCCATAGAAAATGCAGCCGCCGCCGCCGCCGGGACTCGAACCCGCGACCTGCGGGTCAGCAACCGAGTATACCTTAGCCACTATAGACCACCGCGGCGGTGCTCCCACCATTTCGCCTCCATCGAAATGTGACCGCCGTGGCAGGCATCGAACCTGCGACTTTTGAGTCAGCCGCCGAGCACCCTTTGCTATATACACATCGCGGCGGACTTCACGAAGTTTTAGCGCTCCATACGTAACCGCATATCTAGCCTTTGCGCCAACCACCGAGTGACGATGACAACTGCATCTAAACTATATTTAATTTAGATAAGATTAAATCGCCGCTACGGCAAGAACATAGGAGCATTTCAGTGTGTAGAGCGTATCCTGATATACGCAACAGGTTGTATGGGAATAATGGGTTACCGGACTATAGGGAACGTAAACCTTTACGTAACGTAAACTATCCACCTGATAGTCTCACGTTTGCTGCCCTATCTCGCAAATCCCCCTTCGTTCCAACAAACTGGTGTTACCCGCAATGCGGGGACTCCAGCCGTAATAAGCCGGAGTGTGAGCGCCAATAGCGATTACATTGTTTCAGCCGGATTGTCAAAGCTAGATTGG